CTAACTTTGCCTGACATTATTTGCAGATCTCAAAAGATGATTACATCAAAGTTGCAGACTTGGGCCTAGCAACCTTTGAAGACAAAATCATTGGCACAATGTGTGGGACTCAACCGTATATGGCACCGGAAGTAATGGAAGGCAAACTTTACAGCACAAAGGTGGATATATACAGTTTTGGTCTCATGATGTGGGAAATGTGGTTTGGGAAGCGCGTCTTTACCGAACTACGCCGTGAAGAATTCTTTACTATACGAATTAAAGACGAGTATTATCGTCCACAAATTCCCGAGAATGGTAATCTCCCTCCAGCAAAATGGATAGAGCTCATGACATCGAGTTGGCAATCCGACTCAAGTTTGAGGCCAACAGCCACCAAATGTAAAGACATCATTAAGACAATTTCTGTCGATGCTTAAAAGCATCGACATGTTAAGTAGGTTACAGGATGATTTATCTCCTTTTGCGTTCATAATAATTTTCAGTTTATTTTCAAACAACTGACATCCATGCTCAGATGAGTTGATCCTTAGGGACCAACAGAAATATATGCCGGTGAGACCAAAATATAACAGGAATTTCGGCTTGACTCAAAAAAAGGGTACCAGTAGCTTTGTGGGTGAGAGCCTGGCTCATTTGCCCTCTGCGTAAATATTTTCGTGAGCCTAAGGCGCCTTTCATTTCTAGCCGCACGATTATTCGGCCCTAGGACTCCAAGTATGAGGCATGTTTCAATCGTTCAACGGTCGCAACAATTTCATGAGCTCTGGAGTTTAATTTGAAAATACTTTTATTTCTATTTTATCAGTTCCACTATGAATTCAAACAATCTAGAATGCTCAGTTTTTACAAAAAATGTTACAAAGTAGATTAACAGTGGAGGACATCTCAGTTCTACTATGAATTCAAACAATCTAAAATGCTCAATTGTCACAAAAATAAATTACCAAGTCTTTAACAGTGGAGGACACCTGAGTTCTACTTTGAAGTTAAACAGTCTCGAATCCTCAATTGTTACAAAAAAAGTGATAAAGCAGATTAACAATGGAGGACATCTGAGTTTAACTATGAAGTTAAACACAGATTTTTTTTTCTCTTTGAACCTATATATAATATCAGTTAATGATCAATGATTGTAATTGTTGCCTCAAATTTTTTTCAAAGAAGTTTGATTTCTTATCTTATCTTACATTTTATTACCAAGCAATAGAGTGAAATTAAGTATTATATCAAATTTACAGAAGTTTGTACAATTTACTCGAAAAACTGTTTAAGTACGAACAACCACTACACTATTTATGAGTGTTTCACTGAAATACTGTTTGAGCTATTGAAGAGATTTAAAAATCAAGTTGGTTTGAGAAATTTTGAACCCTCAAAAAATTGAACCAAAGGTGACAAATGTTTTTGTTTCGTAAAAGGCTTTGAAATACATGTCTAATGCACTCACAAAAATACTGTTTGAAAATAGCTGGGCATGGTCAGTGCTTTATGTAAATGCACTATAGCCACAGCTATTAGACTGTAATCAAACAGAGAGGTTTTAAAAGATCAATCAGTGTTGAATATTTATACACTAAAGTAATGTACCTCTCAAAGAAGTGCTTTGGTCACTATCAGAACTCCCACCCCCCCTCGAATCTTCTTCATCAGACTTACATGTATCACTGCGACACCCTAAAAGGAAAAAAAATTTGAAACTAAATCAGCTTTGAACAGTGAAAATTTGATCAGGATTCACAGGTGAGCTACTTTTGACTGCATATATACTGTACAATGAATATGTGAATGATCATCACAGTTATGAACACTGATTAAGCAGTAGTGAAAATAAAACCCAAAAGAAATTCCAGCTTGTGCAGGAGTCGACCCCATGACCTCTGCATTCCTGGTGCAGAGCACTGCAGCAGTAATGCAGAGGTCATGAGTTTGACTCCCACACAAGCCTGAATTTTTTTGGCCTTTATTTTCATTACTGCTTAATAAGCGTTCATAACTGCAATGATGAATCACACATTCATTCTTCAATCCACAGTTCAAATATATGATTTTCATATATTCACATTCATACACTATACAATGTTGCTTAGCTACTTATTCCTCCAAAAAATCTCTTCTTGTCTGATTGGGTGAAATCATCTGGTAAATTCTATGTAATCATGAGCTTGCAGTGATTGTTGAATATTTTTGGACTCTCCAATATCTTTTCAAGGCTATTTGGGCCAGCAAAAATGTTTAGTGACACTGCTCATTAAACATTATCCAACATCTCACTGTTTCCAATATCTGTAAGCTCAGAAACCAGTTGGAAGCATCAACCTTATGCCTGAAATATTTATAATCTCTTTTAGGAACAGTTGGATGATTAACACTTAATGGTAATGCAGCTATAAAATTATTATGTTGTAATTATTAACTTGCTAATCTTTCTACAGCTGCCTTTCTCATTTCCTCAGCTTTCTGTCTGTCAAACTCATCCCCCTCTTTCTTTTTCTTTACCTCCTCTTCTGTCTTCCTCATCTTTGTATCTCTTCTGTATGTAGTTATATCCTCACAGAGCTGCCGCAGCTCAGTCAGCTCCTCTTCTGTGCTTGACCTTTCAAAATCTAATTACAGTCAAACTTGAGTAAAATGGTCACCAGCAGCTTTGTACAGGTTGATTGTTTAATTTAGGTTCTACCTCTACTGAATAAAGAATTTGATATTCAGTGTTCAACCCTACATACCTTTTTATTGGTCTTTGTAAGAAATTTATATCTCTTGCTCATTTGTAATAAAATAAACTACAGCTTTTGAGAACTAGTTTAGTTATATTTGATTACACATTCGGATGGTATCCTGTTACTCTATGAAGTGATTGCTTAATACAATAAAAATACACTCGTTGGGACCTAATTGCATCGTAAAAGGTGACCGCTACTGCTAAAAGAGGTGGCCGCTAATAGAGGTCACAAAACTTGCAATAAATAAGGGGAGAAATTTTCGGGACTTTCAAAACTGACCGCTTAATACAGGATGACCATTAAATACAGGTTCACTGAAAATGTAGAACATAAAAGGAGTAACCACGCTTTTATCGAATTGAAGTGTTGGGACATTCTTATCCTTTCAAAGCTTTGGCGTCCTCCGATTAGTATTTCTCAAGTATTCTATCCATCTTTTCTTGACATCCTCTACTTGTTTATCATCAGTAGAAAAAGCTTTGCTGAGTTAATTTTAGCTACTTCGTCCCACTCTTGGAGCTTTTCAGAGAAACACTTTGCCAATTTCTTTGCAAGGGCCAGCTCGTGCTGCACCTCTGGCCATCGGAATGGAACATGATACCCTGGAATTAAAAAAATTTAAGTTTTCTCAGATACCATCTACTGCTGCTTGAATAATAAACCTTAAAGGTGAGAAAACCCTTATTTATGAGCTCACAGAAGGCCACTAGCGACCGAAAACTTCGAAAAAAACATGAAATTGAAGAGGCCGCCGTATTGAATTTCCAGACAACAGCAGTGTTTGATTTTCAAACGGCAACAAGAAGTCTTATTTTCACTCATTCGCTAAAAAGATATATCTAAACTTGTTCCAAAAAGACTGGTTTACATAACCTTCTGATTTGTACGTGGCATAATTACAAATTCAGGATAAAAAACGTTCAGGTCAATCACTTACGTGAAAACCCACCTCTTGGCGTTGAAAACGCGCGTTCAGAACTCCCAACGTGACCGCACGGCTTGATCACGTGACCTCCACCGGTTTGACGTTCGAGGTTTCCGCTGAAAACCCTGGTACTAAATGTCACTATTATAAGTAACTCAAGATATCTTGCTTTCAGTGGCATACCACTGATTGGTCACCATGCTCCAAATCATGTGGCAATGGGGTACAAACACATGAAGTTATCTGCCGTAAGAAGATCAACCCTACAGATTATGTGCCAAGCACAAGCTGTGCTGCTGATAAGAAACCAAGCATTTCTAAGAAAGTTCGATATTGTAACAGCATCGATTGCCCGGCTGACTGGGAGGAGGGGCTACCGGTAAGTACCTCCTGTTTTAAGAGGATCTTTCAATTGATCACTTTTTATTTTCCCTATTAGGAATTATAGTAAAGTTCGGATACAACAAGCACTGTCATTGGTTGAAAGTGCATGCTCTAACAGAGTACAGAGCACGTAGCT